TTGGGTGGGGCTGATTAACGGGCGTTGTTTACTTGCTTGACGGCCGACGGGCGACTGTTAATCTTTTTTATCTTCTATGGGCGACTGTTTGAGACTTTGAGTGCTCTACGAAACTCGCCTAGTCTAGTAGTCTATGGCCTATGCCAGTACGGTAATTAACTCGAATAAACTAATAACTACAGACAATATATTTATTATTTATTTGTTTAATAATGATAACGAGCGTAAATCAAGATAATATGTAGATTGAAAAGGCCTGAGCATGCCTAAGGGCTAAGACATAGACATTATAGTATAAATATTCAATAGGTACTTAACTACTTCATAATAATTTCACAAGATTAAAACTTAAGCTAGAGAACGAAACATTTCATAATAATATTATCTTATATATCATTGATTGTTGAGCATAATAAAATATTGTAATACTACCTATAGTATTACAATATACTTAATGACATGGTAGATAATAGCTCAATGATATTAATATATGCTCTCAATTTAATATGGCAGACTGACTGACAATATTAGAAACCCATTCTATAGAATGACGAAAATTTATAATTTGCATAAAAAATTGAATAGGTAATTCTTAATAATTTTTTTTTTATATTTGTGTATAGACGCATACTGATATATAATATACCTAATATGAAATAATATGTTATGTAAAAACGAGATGATTACCTCAATTAAAGTTGACAACAAATGTAATAAAAGTTTTTCTCAATTTTTACTCATGTTCTTTATGACAATTTTCAATTTTCTGTAATCTAAAAACAGTAGCAAAGAACGTAATTTTTTGTTTATGTATAGATTTTAATTCTCGTATATATAAGGATCATGTATGTCAAACTAAAAGTATTAGTTGAGGACCAAATATATATAATATATTTGAATAGTTTACTATGCGGCCCGCACATAACAATGTATCGAAAAAAATTTTTTAAGTCATTTTACATTTTATTCATGACTTATCAATGAATCACGAATCTAGATAAATATCTTAATTTGTGGTTACAATACTAATATAGTAATAAACTATACAATACTTATAAAATTACAGTTTATCAGAATATGAGACAAAAAAGTAACATAATATAATGAAGTAACATTTGAGTACATTTGACACAGTAGCGTAGGTATCTATGATTTATTCAAGAGGAAATATAACATTTTTAATATACATTCGGTACACACATATAATATTCCTATTATTATATACATCAATATATTGTGTACAAAGTCTCCGTGGGGGGGGGGGAATATAACCACCGTATCCCCCCCCTTATAGATACGCCACTGTTGTGACACACTGACACGAAAGGAAAATTGTATAATTATTGCTATATCCACGGGCTATATCCATAAAAAAATGAGCCAATGGCCGAGTGATTGACATGCTTGGCGTACCACGTACAATATACTTACTTATATTATACTTTCTCGGCGTAATTTTCCAGAGATTACGATTCGAGTTTCCATTTTCATATTACGTTGAGCACTGTTAAAGTTAATATATCACAGTGCAATATTAGTATACATTGTACTCTAATATTAGTTCAGAAATATGCAATAGAATTTACTGTACTAGTTTTTTTGGAATAGAATGAGTTCCAAGTCCAATGTATACATAACCATGGTAAAACACAATTTATTGGTCACCCCGTTTATGTGAAATTATAATCCCCATTTTGTTAATATAAAAATTAAATCTAAGAAACTAAGAAAAATAATACAAAATTGAATACCTACTGACATTTTTGATGATATTTCAGATATTATCATACTTTAACTTATTACTTATTTACTTATTAATAAACATTTTGACATTTTGACTGGTTTGGGAATTTATATTGTTGGGTACTTACATGTGGTTATACAAATATCTAGGTAAACAATGCATCTTATCCACTGCAACATGCTACATATAATAAAATATTTGTTTTTTTTAAGATTTTAACTTTGAGATCTAATTATATAAGTTTAAAATAATACGAACCATGGTTTCCAAAACTTAGACGGTTACCGGAAAATGAGAATATAATAAAAAAAAGGAGTGTAATCAGTGCCCCGGGGCAATAATACCCTAATAAACATACATATTTAAACATTTGCCACCCCCTTGGCCCCTTAGCACGGCTATGGACGTAATGGTACGTCTGGAGCGGTGAAAGGGTTAATATGGTGAATGAATGATCACCGCAACATCAACTACAATCAGTGGCGTGGCGAACAGTAATTTCAAAGACAATTGCCTCTCAGACTTTTCTTAAATAGAGTGGGTGGTAGCCGGTGGGTCCCCTAGTAAATGTAATATGATATATTCAATAGGTAGTCAATAACGATCTGAAATATAATTAGTTGGGATATTTGTAACTTGCCTCTGGATGGTATTTAGTTCGCCAAGCCACTGACTACAATTGAAGTATCAAGTAAATAAGGCAATTAAAAATGGTTATATTTAAGAAACTTATGAAGTTTGGCATTTTGAAAAGAAAAAATAATAAATTATTAAAAGGATAAGGCTAAATGTTTGTATAGAAATAAATAGAGAATTTCAAATATTTTTTCAAATAAAAAACACTGAAGTGCCAATATAATAAAAGTCAATGGTTGTAATTATATTCTTTGGAGGATTTCTAGGGACTAAAAAACTTATTGTAATGTTATAGTCCCACTCAGAATAGATTGAATTTATTTATTATGATCTGACAAAATCAATCTTAGCTTATATTTTATTAACTCAATGTACCATCCGGTCCAATAAAAAAAAATGTGAATCACAGCCCACATCAAACAAACACTCGGAAATTGTATTTTGTGAAATTATTATTGATACCTATATACTTTTCAGGTATGATCTAACTTATCACCAATAGTTTATAAACCTTAAAGTTCAATGAAACATACATTTTAAATAAATATAAACTATTATTAGTCATATTTTTCATAACAATCACTTACATAGTTAAACATTATTACAATTTTATAAATAAAAATAAGTGATTTATAATATTTTGAAAATATTTACAAAAAAAATAAACATCAAAATTCAAGACCATTTTGACATGAGGGTTTGCTTTAAAGTTTGAGATTCTGTGCAAGTGAAACACAATGCTTATGTGCAAAAAAAAAATAAAATAAAAAAATATTGTTCAGAATACACTTATGACAATTTTTAATTTTATAATTTTATTCTAAATAGTGATTCTTAAAACTTGAATCAGCCAATATCATAAAAAATGACCTGAAGTATAGATTATTAAATCTAAAAATAATAACATGTATGCGTGAAGAAAATTATAAATCTGAATTTAAAATTTTGAAGTTTTCAAATTCCTCTATAATATGCTTGGATTGCATTAACTTTTAATTTAAAAAAGTTTACCAATAATAAATTAAACACAAAATTGTATGAATAATTGATTAAAAATAATGGTTCTTTAAGCTATTTTCTTATTTTTGAAGATAATATTATAAACATTTAATTCATTATATGTTTGAGATACTGACTGATTCATGCAATCACGGTGTTTCTTCATAATAAAATATAATAATTATACGGTTATATAATATGCAATTTATATGGATAATATTTTAATATTCATTATCTTTAGTCATTACTAATGGACAAATTTATTTTGTATAAATTAGATATTATACAATATTTATTATATATAGTATATATTTTTAATTTAAAAATAATATGGTAGTCCTTAGATAACTATTATGAGTAATTTTGTATAAGAGATAAATTATTTTACTATAGATATCAAATGATATCTTTCACATTTATTATTTTTAAGTATATAATGAATGCAATACTATTTCATATAAATAAAAAATACAATTTTTTTGATAGTAAATGTTTTATAAAATATTCGTTCAAGTATTGTAGAGCAATAAATAAATAATTTATAAATAACATAATTTTAAAAAATATTATAGCAAAGTTACTTTTATTATACGATAATTAGTTATTCTATTCACTGAAAAAATATAAATTAACCATAACATTGTATTATTATTATCTTATCGGTTTAAGCTATAACAGATCTATGAAAAATGTGGCTCTGAAACCTTACAAGTTTTTTTTATTAATTTAAATTTAATTTACACAAATTTAAGTCTTAGAATTATTATTCTGAAGATATTGTTATGTTTATATATTAATTGTTAATTAGATACCCACATATCTGAATTCTTTAGCTGTACAACTATTATGAAAATTAAAAATCAGGTATCAAACCAATTTATCCAAAGTATTGTAGTAAAAAATAAACTCACTTCATTCAATATTTAATATAGTATCAATTTGAGTAATTTTCTATAGATTGCTATTTTCTAAAATGTACTAATATGAACAATTTTAAGAATGGTTACAATAAGAGATCTGTAATATTTGAAAATAAAATTTAAATTAATAATAAATGGATAATAAAAAAAAAATGTGTAAATAGTTAATTTATTTAAACACTTTGGTACTCGTAATTTTTTTCTACATTTAAATTAGTAATGACAATAAATTTTAATAAGAATAATCAATAACAATAATGTTAATACATAATATATATATATATTTATACATACATATATTTTATAACACAAACGAGGCTACAGCTTAATTATAATCTATGCCTACACATATATCATATTTGTTAACTAAATAAAATGGTTATTATCTATATACAAAGTACATAAAATTAAATCAAATAATCAATCAATACTTAGGACTTTATATAATTTAGGTCACAAGTAACCATCATTAAATTATTGTTAAAGATATTTTTTTTTTGTACACGCTCATACATACATACACACACACATTGTATTTAATATACATAAATATATATATATATATATATATATATGTATAACATTATTTGTTATTACATAGAAAGTCCAGATTTATAAAATAAAATTATTCAAGCACAGAGTTATTAGATTATGAACAACATTGTTTAGTTGTTTATAATCAATATTCAATTACATATGATTTATTTCTTTTTCACAGCAGTTGTATTACTAGACGGTCTTCCCGAGTTTAATCCTGAATATTGATACTTCGCTTTCTTTTCAGATGGTTTCAAAATCTTAAAGGATAGAATCATAATCAATTAGTTATATTAAAAACAATACAATAAAATCATACCAAGTTTTGAATCTTTCAATATAAAAAAGTAAAACTATAGTCGTAATATTTAAAAACTATGGTGGAAGAGGACACTACACTGATGTTTGTTCTCTCCGTCCTACAAGTGTGTAACATAACAAATGTATTCTCATTTGCGAGAACTCTATATTTATCTTTTGACTTTGTTAATTGTAATATAGAGTGAATTTACTAACTTTTAAACTTAGGTAACAACATATTCAGTGGGTATTTTTACCATATTTAAACTTTGTAGCGAGTTGTATTAATATTTAAAAATGCTCATTAAGTCATAATTCACTTTAAAATTAAAATTTCCCCAAAAAAACCACTCTAACAAACACAGAAAATGTGTTGACCTATAAGTTTAAAAATAGATAGAGTCACCATTATATTAAAACTAATTTAGCTGAATGAAAATTGCTAAATGTGAATTTGCTATGTTATGCACTTCTAAGTTGGTGACAATATATGAGAGTAAAAAATCCTCAAAAAATTATTTAATAAAATTAGTAGTTGCTAGGTTTGTGCACCCACACAAAATATTATGCCCATTAATAATATCATCAATATATTTTGTAATTATTACATAGGTATTATAGAGTGACATAATAGTATTATAAGGTTAAATATACAATGACAATATTCCAATTAATTTAATTTGAAGTTGAATATTATCATTTTGAAGACTTATTTTCAGAGAAAAAAAAAAAATCAACGGGTATTAAAAATTAATTGGCTTAAGAAGACACCTGCATATGTTAGATCCGTCTTACAAAATGTAAAACAAATCAAAAACTGTTTTGAGCGGGAAAGAACCAAAGCTACTGTCATAAACTCATAATTAAGAAGCAACATTTTCACCACAAAAAAACTAAAAAGGAGAACTATAGCTGTGAAATATGGTTTTTATTATTGATATGTGAATTACAAAAAAAAATAATCAAGTGTGAGAAACACAAAAATAATGGATTTTGAAACAATAAAAACTTTTTTCAATCTTAAACTTTATGCGATATCAAAAAAATTAAAACAATAATTCACAGAAAATGTTCTGAAACTATAATATATTGTAAATAAATTTAGAGTCTTATACTCTTATTTATCACTACAGCCTGAGTGGTTCTATCCCGTGCAACACAGTTTTAACAAGTACATTTGTAAGACGAACATGTTTGGACATGTCATTTGACAACACATGCAGGTGTAGCGTGATATACAAGTATATTAGGTGGGGTGAAATACTAATCACATTAGTCTTTTATTTTATTAAAAAAACTACACAAAAAAAGTATATCTAGAGCTGGAATCTATATGCAATAAAAAATAGTAAAATATGCTAAAATAATAAATATTTTAAATGATTCTGTAATTTAATTGTTTTTATATAAACATTTTTCAAAATTATTTTTATAATTGTTACATTGAATATCATGGACAAAATATAAAACCTTGTACCTACACAGCAAACATTAGTAAATGGCACTTACAACAACCAGTCTACAAGTCCATAAATAGTAAATTTAAAATAAATAAAAAATATTTAAAGATCTTCATTAGATAAATATGATTTTAGATCTCTTAAAATACGTATATTCATAAACTCTAAATATGTACCTTATTATATACATTTTGATTAAAATATGCAAAATAAAAAAGTCGCTCTGCTGTACAGTAGGTTACAAGGGGGCCACTGTTTAATGGATGGTATTTATTTTAAATTCAATGATATAATATCATTGTATAAGAAAAACGATTCTGAGTGGAGATGGTATGTCAGTCTAGGTAAAAGAACATAAATATAAAAAAAAAAATTGATTTATAGGTCTATAATAAATTCCAAATTAATCATATCACAATATCCATTAGGTACTTAAAACGAGTTAGACATCAATAAGAAAACAAACCTTGATACTATCATAGATATATTGTAGTATACTTTAGAAATTGCAAGTACTCAAGTATAATATTATACAATTACAACAAAATAACTAAAATAGTATTCTAGGTTTTTTATTATGTAATTTCGTCCAAATTTGAAATGACTATAAAAATAAACTGTCCATCTGTATTTTTTAGATTTTTCGGTAACAGAATTAACTACTTACGTGGAACCTTGTTTTAAATTTTCAATCCTTAGATATAAAAGTTGAACATTTTATAAAATTTTAACTACAAAATAATTATTTAATTTTAAATTTGATAAATTTTGTCAAAATTCGATCTTTAAATGCTTATAAAAAAAAATTGTGCGTCATTTTCGTCATTTTTATGTATTTTGTCAATATTTGAACTTTAATGCTTATATAAAAAAAATGTAACTATGGATTCTTAATTTTTTTCATCTACCTTTGAAACAATATAATAGGAGCCTTCTATAAAATTTTTAAGCTTTTGTACCCAACAAATAAAATTTTATTGATAATTACAAAAAAAAAAACTAAAAAAAATGGAAACTGAAAAGAGCTCAAAATAAGTCAAAATATTTGGAAAATGTTATGATGTATAGAAAATACTAATATAAAAATTCAGTAAAAATTGCATGTACCTACGGCCATTTGTTTAAGAGTTGCACCAAAAACCAAAATCGATTTTCTCGAAAACAGATTTTGCGTAAAAATTCCCGTTTTTCCCGGCGCTTTTGAAAACTAATAGGAAATTTTTACTTTTCACCCCACAAAGTAACAACTAGATTAACTTTCCTATCAGAAAAGATACTGTTTTAGAAAACCCAAACACTTTTACTGTCCTAAAAGGTGAAGACAGACACAAAAAATAAAATATAAAAAAAAAAAAAACACATTATTGTAAAATCAATACATTCATCGTTCCACTCAGAATCTAAAATGTTCTATTCAATTCAGTTTGAGCTAAATTGTGGATAGAACTGACAACCAATGTAATTGAACTAAAAGAAATAATATGCTAATGCATAGAAATCTTAGCTCTAATAATCTATATGATTTAATTAACAGAACTTTGATTTATTTAACTAAAATTGTAAATATTATTAGTGTTTTAATTGAGAATGATAAATATAATATTAAAAAATAAAATTTTATATTTTACTTTTTATAATTATTTAAAAGTTGACTATTTTGGTATGGATAACAAATAAATATTAATATAATTAAATTATACTGGTTAAAACTTACTTGAAATGAACACATTAGTGTTGCATCAACAGACATCATTCCTCCTGCATTATCAAATTCCCCACAATAGTTTGGAGCAGAAAACAATGTAACCAATTGCCTCTTAGCGAAAAATTCATAGCCATCTTCTACAACCTTAAATGTAAAATGTTAAGGAAAATTTAGATAAATTTTAATGATCCTCATTAAAAATGAATAATTTTAATTACCTGATGTGCTCTACATATGAGATCTAAGTCATGCCTATTTAAAAATTTTGCTACGACATCTGTACCAAAAGTAAAAGAAACACCTCTATCATTTTCCCCCCAACCAGTTACATCTTTGTCCGGATCAGACCACAATAAATCACATAACAAACCTAAAACAATAAAAAAATAGAGTAAATTAATTAAAATTTAAATAATCTACTTCATTAACAGGTATATTTTTTTTCTTATAATTGCAATATTGTTTAGGACTTAAGTCTAGTTAATATCTCTTATTAATTATTCAACTAAGGACAGCTACAATGGCTATTGTTTATAGCACAGCTGAATACGGAGCCTGTGGATCAACAGTGCACATGTGACTCGGATAGACTCTCAACTCAACAACGCAATGAGGATTATTAGCGACACGGTAAAGACAACCCAAAGAATGTGGCTCCCAGTGCTGACAAATATAGCACCGCCCCACATTCGGAGGAAAGAGGCTCTTGTCAACACTATAACTTCATGCTTAAACTACAAAAGATCACTACTGTTCAAAATGCTGGGAGATAAACCAATAAACAGACTAAAATCCAGAAAACCACCTGGCTTAACAGCAAAGAACTTAATTAGCACTCAATTTTGTAGTAGTAAATCATGGAATGAAGAGTGGGCAAAAGAACATGTTACAAATAAAAATCTTATTACTAGACCTGGCCAAAATATGGAAGGCATGTTACTACCAAGAAATCAATGGACAACAATTAATCGGCTTAGGACAGGACAGGGAAGATGTGGATCTTTATTATTCAAATGGCGTTACAAAGAAAGCGCAGCGTGTGATTGTGGGGAAGTGGAACAAACCATGAAACACATTGTGCAATTGTATCCCAGGAGGCTTTTTGAACAAAGGATTGAAGGAATCCACCAAGTTACCAAAGAGGCAATAGAATGACTTAAAGAACTTGACTTAGACTTATTATTATAATTAACTATTATTTATAACAATATTTTAATATAATATGTTGATTTATTCTATTTGCGTTTATACTAACAACTATATTATGTGTATTACACTATTATCAGAACGATATTTTTTATTTTATTTTATTATTCTATTATTTGTTACAGTTGAAAATTGAATAATGTATTAGTGTATAATGTGTTTGATATCCATGCCATACGAAATAAATAAATACATTATTCAACTCTAGATGATGCTCGTCTAATATGATAAGTGATAACTATGTGGAAATCATAGACCTTATACTTGTAGACAGAGCATGGTGGTAACATTGATTATAAATACTATAGATTGCTCACTGGCTGGTTTTTTGGTGTCAATAAATATTTACTACCTGTAGTTGGAGAGGCGAAGTGACTACTAGCGATTACAATGTTATCCGATCTGACTAAACCAGGTGGCCGTGTTAATGGGTGCAGGCTTGTGGTTAGTAATGTCGAATAACGTTGTAATCACTAGTAGTCAAGTCGCCTCGCCATTTACCGTGAGTAAATATTTTGTGACACCGAATAACCGGCCAGTGAGCAATCTATAGTATTTATAATCAATGGTGGTAGTTTCCGCTGATAAGTGTTGTTCCACACTTCTGCGTATTTCCGTAGACCACGCCAGTTTGTGCATAGTTAAAAAAATATAACAGCATATATACGTAATTATCGTATTTTATCATGATTCATGAATAGTTTCAAATGAATTAAACAAATTATGAATAAACTTGTATTAAGTATTACTAGTAACTTTTCTGGTTTTTGATTTCAACATTTTTGTTATATTGACTTATTACGATAACACATCATTGTAACGCAGTTTTCAGTCTCTGCACCACCCAACCACGCTGGCCTGGCATGCTCCGTCTTATGAATATAAGGTCTATGGTGGAAATGCACTTAGTTAAATATGATAAATACACATACAATTATTAATTATTACCTACAAAATATAGTACTTATTCACATTTTTAAATTTATTATCTATAGAAAAACTAACTATAAAATAATATTTTTATACCCCATATTTTATACTCATATATCTATTAAATTCAAAATGTACAATTCCAATACTGGAGCTCAATCACAAACTATTAAAATATTATGACTGCATATAATTGTTAAGTATAGTTTACAATCAAGATCTGTTAGTGATTTGTTGTGCTACAAACATTTTGGAAGGGTACATAAAAAAAGAACGGTGTCAATATTGATTGATCTTTAAATCCTATAAAACCCTTGAATCATCATTTGTGACACAAAAATTGTCTATTGCTTAACATTAAGAACTGACATAGAAATTAAGTGTTCCTCCAGACAATTTACTATGCTTTATTCCATACTGAACTCTCGCAGTTGAATAGACTACCATTTCTCCATCAACGCAACCCGATGTTAAGACATGCTCCACACCAGCAAGCCCCGATACAAAACGAGAATTTGACAGAGAATCGGTAGGCAAGGTTGTTCTTTCGTGGAACAAAGTATGGTGATATTATTTGTGATATAATATATAAGTATCATATATTAGACTGAATATATTTATTTTAGCATAAATATCTTAATAAGTTAACTAAATAATAGAAAAATTACCAGTATCTGGGACATCAGTTGGACGCATAATACGTCGAATTTGTTCCATTCCTTGTAAATCAGGACTAAGTCCACCATGACAACAAAATATTTTCTCATCAATAATAGCAGCGATAGGTAAACAATTAAAACAATCGGTAAATGTTTTCCACAATTTTATATTGTAACGTCTTTTACCTATATGTATATAAAAACAATTTTTTTATAATAAAACTACTTAAGTTAGTTAATTACATTATAAATAACTTTACATTCATCATAAAATCCATAGATCCTGTTTATGCTGGCACATTCATGATTTCCTCGTAAGAGAAAAAAGTTTTCTGGATATTTTATTTTGTATGCTAATAAAAGGCATATAGTTTCCAAGGACTGTTTTCCACGATCAACATAATCTCCCAAAAATAAATAGTTTGCTTCTGGAGGAAAGCCTCCATATTCAAATAAACGCAACAAGTCAGTGTACTGTCCATGTATATCTCCTAATAAATAAAATATAAAATAAGTATAAAAATAATTCGGCGTTTGAAAATATATATATAAAATTACTATTTACCACATATTTTTAAAGGTGCTTCTAAATCTAATAAAATTGGTTGTTGTAAAAATATTTCTCTAGATTTCAAACATAATCCTCGGACTTCTGCTTCAGACATTTGTACTGTTTTACCAGGACGACATCCTCTTACTACAAATAAAGTACTTTTATGTTATATTATACAATTATAGAACCTATCATACAATATATTTCCAACAATATATAAATTTTTGTATCTGAAATTGCCTAATAATTTTTTAAAACAAATTATAAACATAGAAAACAATAACTTATAAGTTTTTTTTTTTTTTTTTTTTATATTTTTATTAGTAATATACAATCTATGCACAAAGGCATAATAAGAATATGTGCTGAAATAAGTTTTAACATGAAATAGGGTGAGGGAAGAAACCATCCAGTGATCGCACTTCACTTTGCTTAAAATACATTTATGTATTTTTTTTTTAAATTTTTTTTAAATTTTTTTTTTCCCTTCGTTACTCATTGAGTAGATCTCTACACCAGTTTTTTTTTAGACGCCGTGGTGGATTACCAGGAATCGTGTGAGTGGCTAGACCAGAAATTAAAGGGTTTGAGTGAGATGGCAGCTTGTTGAAAAAGCGTTTATAGAAAGTTTTGGCTTCTTCATGAATGGTTTTGATTTTTAAGTCAGAATGGAGAGTGAAATTAGAAATGTAAAATGGAGCATTGGTGATGAGGCGCAGAATTTTATTTTGAACGGTTTGTATTTTGTTAAGGTTTGATTTTTTTGCATTGCCCCAAAGTTGTAGGCCATATATCCACATAGGCTTAATTAAGGACTTGTAAATGTGCAGTTTTATATTTAATTTAGTATGTTTTTTTGATAGTAGTGTTTTCAGTAACCGGAGACGCGCATTTAAAGCGAGTTTTTTTCCCTTCCGTGTTGCGCAACTTATAAGTTAATAGCAAAACAAGTTTGTGAAGTAAATTTAAGAAGTACCTATATTATAACCACTCAGTTAGAATATACCTATATTATAACCACTCAGTTAGAATATACCTATATTATAACCACTCAGTTAGAATATACCTATATTATAACCACTCAGTTAGAATATACCTAAAAAGCAAAAATTAAAGCCATGTTTCACAAATCTACAACCATTCGCAACTATGGTACAACTAGTTTCAATCAATTTAAATTGTTGATCTACAAGCATAGTCACAAGCCATCAGTAGGAAACTGATTTCAAATCAATCTTATTTTAGTGGATAATTTATGCAGCTCTTTAATGCTACACGTGCAAAGACAACAAACAGTCGCTTATGCAACAAGTTTGAGATTCTCTTTGAAAAACAGCCATAATGTGAGTGGAGACCTCAATAATATGAATATTAAGCCTATAAAATACTATAGTCAACTTATTTTATTTACTATATTTATTAATTTTTCAGGATAAGGTAGTTACTAGTTTTCTGGTTAACATATAGGTATACCTTGTTATAACTATCACACATGGAATTGATATGCCTAGTATGTATATATAATACATTTTAATTTAAAGCTGCACTTACTGAATAAGTAATCATTTGAGTATCAGATGCAGAAGTTGAATTTATTATACATTTTTATGTACCCAGGGCCTGATTTATAGAGATGGTAACCCAGAGCATAACTTATTTGAGGGCCCCTTATTAGTGCCCATTTTTACCAAGTTAAATTAAACCTAGTGTCGAAGCTCTTATTAAATACTATGCTTATAAACACATAATGTACACATTAATCATGTCAATATATTCTGTGCATAAAACGAGGCATAATATCATAAATTACATTGTAATGATACGTATTTTGTAGTGAATAACAAAGTGTATTAAGTTTAAATTAAGGATCATAAATGAATAGTGGAGTATATTCGGGTAGCTTAATATCGCCCAACTATCTGCAATACCAATGTTATTTAATTCAGGTTGTTCCAGGTTAGCAGGTTAACAGTTGCAGACACAACGCTTACGTAGTTAAATTGCCACAAATTAGAAACAATTTAAAAAAAATTACCCACATATAACTTGTAAGGACTCAAAAAATGTCTTAACTGTAAGGCCAAGGTTCTATGATCCCCGGAATCCCTAGTAAATATGGCCTGTTTTTAAGTAGAAAACATTTTAGTTTTGAGTCTTAAAACTATCAAGTTCAAAAACATGAATCAAATCGCATAGGCTCATAAATTAAAACTTATATTATAAGTTAATTAGTATAGTTTTAATGTAGGTACCAGTTTGTATAATTATAAGTAATCGAGTGTTGAATCACTCATAACATTTTGATGTTCAACTGATGCTTATTCTTAAACTTTAACTGAATGGGTTAAAAAATTAACTAAAGCAATGCTAACTATAACGCGTTGACACATATAATGAGTGTTATTAACCTACCAGGTTGTATTGCAATACAAGAAAATAAGAATTCCAATTAGTGTTTTCATACGAATTGTTTGCAAATCTTACCTTCTAATAGTCGTGCGATTATGCTGTCTATACTCAACGGTTCACCGTCTGCCATTGTGGACGGAAAACCTTGATTGGATTTCGAATTTAATACGATTTGTTGACACGGTATTCGATTTTGTTTTGAGGTCCGAATGGATAATGGTTCCGTCTATCAATTGAGATTCAAGGGGTCGTACACCGCCTCTACACGTCGTCCCGCTAACATGTAAATTAATCTTAAATAATGTGTCGGTGTGTGGTCGGCAGGTCGGCTGGAAGGGAAAAATGGCGAACACTTTCTCCCCACCATGAACACAAATATTTTTTTCTTTTTTCGTTAAATCTAAAATTAAATTTTAAATTTTTCTATAAATTATAACTTTTGGAAATAATTTATATTTTATACTAATAAATAATAAATGCAATTTTCATAAAATTATATTTTTTAATTTTTATATTTTTCAATGAACTTTATTATTAACCCTGGTATTTGAAGTTCTATAATCTAATCTATAGGTTAAATTTTTCCATACAAATGTTTGGAGGTTATGTTTGTAATCTCTACCAAATTCTTTGAACATTTTTTGATAAGTTCTAACATAGAACAATATAGAAGCGACACTCGATCAGCTGATGGGTGAAGTGTTTACCTATGATCTGAAGTCCGAACATTCAAACTGTTTCCGTGTACCAACATGATGTTATACCCGTATTGAAAAACCGTATCCGCTTAATGGGCAGGGTATTCTGCGCGGGGTCGGGTTGTTTCCAGCATAGAAAAATTGTTTCCACTGTTTACTAAGTTTATTTTTACTTTTACAAGTGTGCGAATACCAGTGTCCGTCAGTGTACATAATTTTTTATTGTAATTTGCTGAATTTGCTATTCCGAAAATTTGCAAAATGGTTATTAAGTGCATATTATGTACTAATAAGTATGGACCCTTGTCAATTAATATTACTTTCCATAGATTTCCGAAGGATTACGAAAGGTAAATATTAATATAATTGGTTAATAATATTAATAATGTATTAATCTAACAATGTTGTGTAATATATAATTTTATAATGCTTTAGATTTAATAAGTGGGTTAATTTCTGCCGTCGTCCGGATCTTTTGGAAAAGGGTCCATCCATTTGTAATAAAGCATATAAATTATGTTCTGAGCACTTCGTTGAAACAGATTTCAACAATAATGGTTGGTTGATTAATAGTGCAGTGCCTTCTATATTCAACTGGTCTGATGCAGAGTTGCAACAAAACAGCAGTTTAATAATGATTCCCGAGGAACCCATCCCTAGTACTAGTAGTACTTCAAGAATAATGGCTGATTCTGTTGACATTTATAGTAATTCTATATCGTCTATTAATTGGTCAAACAAATCAGCCATATCTTGTTCAACTCCTAAAAGTAAATATTTACTTATATTTATACCTATAATAACATAATAAGCAAGTCAAATTATATTAACGTTGTATTTTTTTTTTTTTTTTTATGGACATAGGTATTCTTATAAAATAAAACAATTTGCACTCATGGTACATTTTATGGGTCCTAAAGTATATAGATTTCTACGGAAATCCTGGAGTTTGCCTTCTGTTAGAACTTTACAAAGAACTACAGAAAATTGGGAAATTAATCCTGGTTTGAATGACTTTTTATTTAAAGTTTTAGCAGTGAAAGCAAACTCCATGACAGTGAAGTCCAAAGAATGTATCTTGTGTGTAGATGAAATGTCGCTTAAATCTTTTCTTTTCTTTGATTTCAAAAAAGATGAAATAATAGGTTTTCATAATACAGGATTCATTAAGTCTTGCGATGTTACTAAATCAGTTATGGTCATTATGATCAGTGGTTTGCATAGTTCTTGGAAACAACCTATAGGCTATTTTTTTGTTGCTACTACTTCTACTGGATATGATCTGCAAAATATAATCTTTCAAACTGTTCAGAAATTGTCCAATATTTCTTTTAATGTAGTAGTCATGATTTCTGATTTAGGCTCAAATTTTAAGCACTTTGCAGATCAACAAGGCATTACCCCCCAGACCCCTTACTTTAATGTTGGAGACAAAGAAATTGTTTACATGTTTGATCCACCTCATTTATTAAAGGCAACTAGGAATAACTTTTTCAATTATCGTTTCAATTCTCAAAATAAAATTGCAGAAAAAATTCATCTTACAAATTTTTATGACCTTGATAAAAGTAATCAACATCGATTGGCACCTAAATTAACTGATGTTCATTTAAATCCTAATAGTTTTCAAAAAATGAGAGTCAAATTTGCCGCTCAAGTTTTTAGTCATACAGTGGTTGCAGGGATGACTACCCTAGTTTCTTGTAATGAATTACCGCATAGTGCCTTCGATACGATTGATTTCATAGATTCCATGGATAAGCTGTTTGATATATTCAATTCTCGTCCCATTTCTACTGAAGTTTCTAATCATGAGGGATCAAAACGTTATTCATTACCATTTTCAAACTCTTCTTATCAGACTGATTTTTTAAATTTAATGTTTAATTATTTTGAAAATTTAGAAATTCAAAAATTTGATGCTGAAAAAAATGAGTGGGTTAATATAGGTAGACAATATAATATAAAATGTATTAATGGCTGGTTAATATCAATAGCTGGATTAAATCGTCTTTATCAAAATTTAACTAATAACAGTGATTCCGAAATTGATCCAATATGTACTTATAGGACAAATCAAGACAAATTAGAAAATTTTTTTGGAACTGTAAGAATTCAAAATGGAAATTGCATAAATCCTACATGCATTCAGTTTAAAAGAACTTTTAAAAAACTTTTTTGTCTTGATTACTTTGAACACTCTGAAGGTGCTAACTGTATTCAAGATTTAGATGAGGTCTTACTCAGTCTTGAAAAAACTCCTATAAGTGAAATTAAAATACTTTTCCCAGAAAAGAACCCTATTCAAATTCCATTACCTATTACAAACATCACTAATTACAAACAAATTAATTTACCTAAACAAAATGCTTTGACATACATTTGTGGTTACTTAATCGGGCAATGTTTAAAGGTTCATCAATGTACAACTTGTTTAAATTTTGCACAAGCAACTACTTCCTTATCCAGTGAAACTTTTTATTGCCATTTTAAATCATATGAAGAAAATCCTTCTTTATTATTCGGTAATTTAATAATGCCCAATTCTACTTTTTATCAGTATATTTTTCAAATCAATCAGGTTTTTGATAGACATTTCATTTCATTAGCTCCTCAGCCCAACGTGGGTAAGACTCTCAAAGATTTAATTTTAAATACAATTTTTTTCTATCATCCGTGTGATAACTTTCCTAAAGACTTCTTAATTAACCTATTCTTAAGATTTCGAATTCACAACTCATTGAATAGAACCAACAAGGAATATCAAGCATTGCGTACTGGTAAAAAGAACAGAAAAGTTCAAATCCTTATGAATTTATAAATATTGAATTTAAAAAAAAACCAGCTGTTGATATTAATTAGTTTTCTTATGGTTGTAATGTTTGCTTTAAGCACTTTTCACTAAGCAGTCCTTTTAAGGACTTAACTATACAATTGTTTAAGTTAATAAAATTGATGTGTTCTTTTATTACAGCGAGTCGATCAGTATTCTTATAATGCAATTGATGTATTCTTTTACTTTAATGATTCGGTTTTAATGTAATATATTGTTTTTAATTTTCCTTTTGCATTTTTGATTCTATTTTCATTAAATAAATACAATATATTCTTACTAAATTTCCAATGTGTTTGTTCTTTAACCCTAGTATTTTATTCCATATCCAATTACCTATTGTTACACTTGTCATTAATTTACGTATTAAAATATTTTTCATTAGTTATTACTTACATTAAGTAATTTATTTTACAGTTTGAATTTTAATACACATATTAAATCTTGGTAAAATTAAGTATTGTACAAAATGGCACAAATGTGAAATGATATCGTTCTATGATAATATTGATATGATATCGTTCTATGATAACGTATGCCACGCCCCTCTAGAGACCATTTTCAAGGCCACAATCGCCCGATCCGACCAATTCACGGAGTGTCGTACCCCTGGTTCTAATGAACAATCATCATAACTATGTACCTCGTTTACAGTCTGTGGTATCTGTGGTTCTGTAGTGGTATGAACCTGATAATGGTTATCATAGTCATTATTTCATCATGATTTCCGTTATCATTATTATTACGACTTGCGTAGTTGTGTCTTGCACAGAGTTACAACTTACAAGTTACACAGAAATACGGAATGATATATCTGTGATGACTAATTGTGAATAGGTTTACTAATTAGTAACTACACTTATCAATTTTTGGATTTTAAATTCATATTTCATTTTATTATTTAAACAATTTTGTTTGGAAGATCCGGAGATCTTTTTGATGCTAAAGTGCGAACTACGATTTTTTTAACGTCTTTTATCTTGTAACTTGTAATTTTGTAAATATTAAATACTAAAAACTAAAAACGTACATTTCCGTACCTACTTATTATTAACTATATATTTTTAGCATCCTTAGTCAACCTAGATATCAAATATTACATTTGAAAATAATTACAAATAAAAAACACTACCTATAGATACCTATTAACTTTTAAAATATGACCTCGCTATTGCGTCAGATGTGTTACATCAATAAAACTACAAGAATTGGCTCACTCAACGTTTATAAACAATTTCTATGTGCTAAATCTGATGATCCAATCCAATCTCATATAGGAAAATTAGTGAAGGGTAACAAAATCGTCGTCTTCATGAAAGGTGACCCACAAGCTCCCAGATGTGGGTTTAGCAATGCAGTTGTTGATATTTTGAATATTCACAAAGCTAAATTTGAAGCGCATGATGTACTTGTTGATGAAAATCTTAGAAATGGTAAATATTTTTAATAATTTGTTTTCAATTAACATATATTAAGTAACATTCAATTTTTCTACCTCAATAATTTGATCGGTCTTTGAAAAATGTCTCCACCGTAGTAACTATGCCTTAAAACTGGTTTGATTCACTTTAATTGTTTTTTTTTTTTAATCCTATTAAATAATAAGTAAAAACTCTTTTTTATCATGCTTTCATTTTTTAATCTTGCTTCCTTTAGTGTATTGTAGCATATTAAATGATTTATTAAATTTAGTATTTACCTAGATAATTTTTAGATACATACCTACTTAAATAGTTAAATGTAAAAATAGAACGTTCACGTCTTGAAATTATAGATGCTAAGCGTATAATTCTATTGAACACAAGCAGAATCAGTGCCAGACTGAACTTCAATTTTAAATGACGCATTTTCATAATTAAGTACTTACCACCACCACAACCATCCTATTTTTACTTATAACAAAGTTATGATGTAAATAAAATGTGATCAAAAGAGCCAAGAGGTCAGGCTTTAGCATGCAATTCTGCGCCCCAGTCACGGGGTGGCACCACCCCCTTTGAAAAGTTGACGCAACTGCGTCAACATTGAAAGCTTCAACTCTTCACTGAGCAGAATGATAAAATAAAACTACTAAATAGAAGGGTCGGAATGACCAAATTGTGGAATGTTAAAATGAAAAAACCTAGTGTTTGAATATGACATGATTTAATCATTAACAAATTGAGTTAGGTAACCAATTGAGATCCTTATATTTATAAACATATTATTCACATAATTTAAGGTAACTGCTAAATTAACCTTTGATTAACTAGAAGTTAAAGAAGACAAAAATTATATTTATGCCTTGGTAATTAGTATTAAAAACATTTGAAAATTGAATGGACTCTATATACAATAACATCTTTATTAAATTATTATATAATCCTCAATAATTATTTTGTGTTATTTTTAGGAATAAAAGAATTTTCCAATTGGCCAACAATTCCCCAAGTTTTTGTAGATGGAGAATTCATTGGTGGTTGTGATATTTTGTTGCAATTGCATAGGTCAGGCGAATTAGATAAAATACTAGAAAAGAACACTCAAGAAAATCCTGTAGCATAAAAATGTATAAAAGTGTTATTAAATAATTTAAAAATAATGTAGTTGCTTACTTATTGAATGAACAATAAAAGAATAAAATGTATTGTTATAAATTATTATGTTTTTTATTTAAACTAAATGTGTCGGTATATTTTATATGTTATTGATAAAATATCCAAATTAACTTATACCTGTATACAAATAAGTTGTTGGTAAAATCAATTCTATTTTATAATTTTTGTTATGATTCAAAAATAAATAGCTGTAACTTGAAAAGTTTACCAAATATTTAAGTATGTATTCATTATCATTAAACATGGAATTTTAGATTCTGAGCAGAGCAAGGAAGCAAGTGATTTTACAATGATTTTTATTTTTTATATCCTGTACACAACATTTTTACCAGAAAGAGTGCTTTGATTTCAATATAGTATCTTATCTTTCAGCAATTTGGATTAAGATCATTTTTTGATTTTCTTGAAAGTTTTTTTAATGCTACGGGATAAGCAACCAAAATACCCTAAAACTTAAGACAAGGTTTCACGTAATTAGATAAATAAATTACTTTATTTACAATAATTTCATCAAATATACTTACTAATTACTTAGTTATATAAAGTATAGACTGACCATCTTCGCTCAGAATCTTTTTTCTTAAACAATGATTATATCATTGAATTCAAATTTAACAACATCCATTACAGTGACCCACTTGTAACCTACTGTACAGCAGAGCAACACCCGCTTCCCCACCTTTTTTTAAAAATATTTTGCCCTTATTTGTGTTATTTATAGATACTTAGTATTTTCATCTTTTTTGTTTTAGACTCCAAGCGATACAATAGGTACAATACATAGATTTTGCAATGATGTGTATGTATATACTGTATATGATAAGTAGTCGTTATAATTATTTGTTTTTCAACTTTGTGAGTGGTTTCTGATAGAATATTATATTTAGTCGGTATTTATGAGTCATGATAGGTCAAAATTGAAAATTGTCTGTATTTTTCGAGTATTGGAAAAATATTTTTTATCTTCGTTATAGTTATATATAACTATATAAGTTATCTCATAAACTACTCATCCTAAATTCAATTTTTATATATCAGAATACTTAAATATTCTACTTTGGAATATTAAATTAAAACTGTTGTCATTCAAATAAGTAGAAACTTGAAAATACTAAGATAAAAATTAAAATGTTGTTTTTTAATGACCAGAAATCTTATAAAAAATGTTACATCTAAAACAAATACTTTTTGAAATAATGAGTGATTATGACTAGAAAACAGGTATTTTTAGATTTTTTTTTTTTTAATAATTAAAACATTCTTAACTTTGTTAAAAAGTTAAATGTAATATAAAGTTCCTCATAAAATGTAGTTATAGCAATTATTATAGGCACCATTATTTTTATTAGCATTTGAAATTAAAATTTTAGTATAATCTTAAAAATTTGAAAATCATTTTGTAGTTATAAATGTTTCTAAGGATTGAACATTTACTACAAAGTAGAAACCTTAATGACTATTCCACTCTGGAACCAAAAAATATTTAAGTACAGATTTTTTTTATAGACATTTTAATTTCAAAATAAGGTTCCTTATAGTTTCTTATAGAAATTAAAAAATACGTAATATGCACAATTTTTTTTTATAAACCTTAAATTTTGATGGAATTGTATATTTAAAAAAAAAAGCATTCATTTTGAAATGTGAACAAGTACAGTAGTTGTCATGGATGTGTTATATTTGAATACAATGATAAACCATTGTATACGAAAAACGATTCTGAGTTCTTAGCGTAGTCCTTATAATATTATTTTTTATTCGTTACTATGGTGATATACAAAGCCTTGGATATTAAAATCCCATTTTTAGTGGTTTTTCGTAATTTGTAGGTAGTTTTTCTCGACGCTTTCTAAAATTAATTGGAATTTTAGATTCTGAGTGAAACGATGAATGTATTGATTTTACAATGTGTTTTTTTTTTAATTTTTAAATTTTTAAATTAATTTTTTTTTTTTTTGTGTCTGTGTACACGATAAGTAGTTGAAATAATGCTTCAATTTTCAACTTCAGTATTTTGTGCGATTGGAAAGTGAATATCGTTGGTGCATTGGGGAGATCAAAATTTAAAATTCCTAGTAATTTTCAAAAGCGCCAAAAAAAACTAAAGAAAATCGGGAATTTTTCCGCAAAATCGATTTTTCACAAAATTGAATTTGGTTTTTGGTGTAACTTTAAAACAAATGACCGTAGTTACATGAATTTTTCACTGGTTGTTTATATTTGCATTTTCTATACACGATAACATTTTCAAAATATTTTGATTTATTTTGAACTGTTTAGGGACATTTTCCATTTTTTTTTAGTTTTTTTTCTAAAAATATCAATTAAATTTTATTTGTTGGTTAAAAAAGCTTGAAAATTTAATAGAAAGCTCCTACTCTCCTAGTATATTGTTTGAGAAGAAGCAATGTTTGAGAAGAAGCAATGTGAGCAACAGTTCCTTCTCCGGCTTTCGATTAAACCGAAAAAAAAAAATATATTGTTTCAAAGGCAGATGAAAAATATTAAATATCCTTAGCCACCCTTTTTTGTTATAAGCATTTAAAGTTAAAAAATTGACAAAATATCGAAAAATCACGAAAATTAACAAATTATTTTGTGTTAAGATTTTGTAAAAATTTTTCTTTTTAAATCTAAGATTTAAAATGTAAAATAAGATAATCTACCTTTATCAAAAAAAAAATGTCTATGAGAAAGTCAAATTAAATTTTTATGAGCATTTTAAATTCATATTTTTACAAAGTTTGTTATTCACTGAATTTCTCATGAAAAATATTAAAAATACATAGGCATAATTTTTTTTTATAAGCATTTAATGATCGAACTTTGACAAAATTTATCAATGTTTTCTCATAGAATCTATCCACACCGTTCTACAGTAGTACAATGTATCGGTATTGACTTTAAAAGTACTAATATAATATGCTATGTTTTTGTCAATAATATGTTCAATTTAACATGGGTATTCTTGATAGGAAACTTACTACAAATAAAAGTAATATAAATACATTTTGTTATGTCCTTAGAAATAGAGGATAATATGGTGTCTCTGCTCAGAATCTTTATTTGTCATTGAATTCAAATTTAACATATTTACATATTATTTAATATAGTGACCTACTCAATGACAACTACACTAGAATACTAGATAATCTATTATCAAGCAGTGCAAATATCCCAGATTTTATATTTATTTTTTCAAAAAGTTTTGGGTTCAGTGCCTCAGTTCTAAATTCATAGTTTTAACTTTTAAGAACTATATCAGAAAATGTTTGAATTTTCCTATATAATTCAAATAATTTATGATTAATTATTATACATTTTATGTCTAAGTAATGAAAATAACAAATTTTATAAGTTATAACAGTCAAATTTAGTAAAAAAAAACATTATCAGTCTATATTTTTCCAAAAATGTTTATTATTTCACCCTAACATTACATAAATTATTTACTCAATTCTTTACAATTTATTTCATGTCTCTACAACATTAATTGTTTGATATACAGTGAAATAACCAAAATTAATTTTTCAACAACAACAGATTACCGCCGTTTTTCTTATGCTATTAAATACTGAGCTGTTATTTTAACCATAAAGTAGTAAACAGTAGTTCATGTTTTTACCTAATTGCTATGAGTTGTCATTCTTAACTTATGTATTTTAGTGGGTGATTAGATAACTCAATTGCTCATTGTATACCTACATTTTAAATAGTTATATACTAATATATAATAAGGGGTTCAGAGTAGAAGTATGAAGTCAGTTTATAACAAACAACGTTCTTCAGTATTTTATCATGTAATTTCCATTTACTTTGGCGCCTCTAAAATCAGTAATTATTTCATCAAAGGGCATTCTTCAAACTAAAATACATTGAAATTTAATAAGATTTAAAAAAAAAAAAACTATTTTCTATAATATTTAATACTTATCAATATTTATAATAGTTATTTTAATTCAAATTTTAATAATAAATGTTTTTTTAGCTTACAATAATAAAACAATGCTATCAATGTTTCAAACAGTTCAAATGCTTTAAATGTTTTTTTAATGGTCACCTAAGATCTTAATAAGTTGAATTAATATATGAAAATGTTTTGATCGTAAGAAAATAAGATTTTAAAAATTATAACACTTAAAAATAGTTTTTGTTTTTATAAATAATTCATAAAATAATAACTAAAAATAAATATTAACAACAATATTCTGACAATTATAACATTACGAACATAAAAATCATGATTCAAATGTCTACATCAGTATAAATTTTTTTGTTCAAATGGATTATCACCACCAATTTGTTTGAATATATATTTTTAACAAGTGCTGACTAGTTGGTTAATCTTAAAACAATATTGGTTTTTTTTTTTTTTTTGGTGGAGATGAAAAACAAGTATAGATACACAATCCTAATAAATTCATTTTTTTAAACAAAATTATGGTTCAATGGATAGCAATAAATCATCTCCCTCCAATTTCATTCCAACACTTATATCAATTTGTTTAACTGTTCCAGCTATAGGCGATTGCACCACCATTTCCATTTTCATTGCAGATAGAACAACTAATGGAGCACCTTTTTCAACTTTGTCACCTACTTTCACACGTACATCCATTACTGATCCAGGCATTGGAGCCCCAACCTGTCCCTTATTAGATTTGGAAGCTTTTGGATGTATATGCATCTCCTACAAAAAATACAAACATGTTTTTATGATAATATTTTAGACAGTTAATTTCACTAAATTAAATACTTTAGAAGCTTCATTGTCTCGTATGAATACGGATCGTAATTGACCATTCATTTCGAAGAATACTTCAATCTCACCGTTGGCAGTTAGCTCTTCAGAAATCGCAAGTGTTTTGAAGGCTAATGTTTTACCTTTTTCAATTGTCACCTAAACAGTTTTTACTCGTTAGATTAAAATTATCAAATTAATACATA